ATGCATTGCTGGAAGGAAGAAGAACCGAGCAGTGACTAACCTCTGGACCCGACCCTGCGGCTTTCTGCAGCAGCACCCAAACCCCAAACAACAAACGGGTCAGTCAGTTGCTTCCCCGGTCTTTCCTCAGTAAATTTCGTAAGAGTGCGCACACTTGCCTTTCTCTCGGCCTTGCCACGATTTGGTTACGCTCTGCCGCCGCGCCTGTCGTGGCTGCGGCTCTCGGAGGCTGCTCCCCTACTCTGGGGACGGTCTTCACCTGAAAAAAAGAAGAAGATGATATGGTCATTGATCGTCAGACCTCCTTTGGCTATCATCTTGTTTGCATTGTGCACTGGCCACTGCATCAGATGTATATCAGATCATAGACTCACCAGATTCCTGAACTGAAGGTTGTAGAACATCTGCAGGTAGCGTTGTTTGGCCACTCTCTCTTCCTTGTTCAGAGTCCTCCAGAAGCCATACATTGACCCCATGTTCAGCACTTTAGTTGCGTAGATCTTCCATGTGTAGCTGCCATCGTGTACACATGGTTAGTATTCTTACCAGGTGATAGGAAGACCATTCCTGAGGTAGGATAAAAGTCGATGCCTACCATTCGTAGATGCGCTGAAGCCCGGCAGTGGACATCTTGTTCCAGTAGCCTGGGTCTTCCTTGCACTTCTGGAAGAAGTCTGCAATCTTGGTGCCTGCCTCCCTGCCGTTCATTGGGTTTATGTGGAAACCCGAGACCCCATCGACGATGATCTCTGCCGGCCCTCCTTGGTTTGTCGCGAAGGTTGGCAGCCCGCAGTTCATCGCCTCGATGACTGTTAGCCCAAATGCTTCATAGAGAGCAGGCTGAAACCAAAGAAAAGGCTAGTGTTGAGGTTTTATTTCAAGAAAGAAAGAAAAGGCTAGAGTTGAGGTTTCATCCACTTCAGAGGATGCAGGCATATATTGTTCATGATCGAGCAATTAGTTTTGTAGCTCATTGTATACCTGAACAAATGCACCCTTTGTATCTGCAATGTAACGGTACAGCTCTCCGTTACGGACACGGTCAGTTTGAGCCTTGATCCAGCGGATCTGTCCTTTCAGTTGGTACTTGTCGATCAAATTGTGCATCTTGTTGATCTCGTCTATCTCTTCCCGGTCCTTGGACTGTGCAGCATTCAGGAGACCTGCAACGACGACGAGGTTCACGAGGTCCCTGACCTTCTTGTTCTGACCATACCACTCGACTAGTCCGGTGATGTTCTTCACCTTGTCCAGCCTCGCCATCGAGAAGATGATTGGCTTACTTCTGTCTGCCAGATACCCTCTGATTTGGCAGCGTCACAACAGTTAGCAACTTCATCTGATCAAATGAAAGTATGTGTGTTTCAGTGTTTGTAAGGAACTTACATGTGTTCATCTGCGTCCTCCTTACTGTACAGCAACTCCTCAATCTGTGGGTGTAAAGCTGTCAGCCGCTTCTGCTTCTGTGTGAAGGGGAAGTAGACGGACTGATCGGCGCCAGGTGCAGCAATGTTGAACTTCGGGTCGAAGACATTGATGCCCGTGGCGTAGCGGCAAAGGCCGGGCATTGTGAATGCATAGTGGTGTTCATACTGGCCAGGCTTCTCTTTGCTGCATCACACTTATTTATGTTAAGAAGTTCTAGGAGTAAGTACTTCGAGCACTGAAGTTATTACAATAAGATTCAGTATACAGACCTTCCAGCGATTTCTTGGTATGTGCTAGTGATGATAAAGTCAGTAGTGTTCATGGCAATCATATCAGCAGTGAATTGACAGGAGAAGTGGTACTTCTGGTCCAGCTCTCTCCACTTGGTATCCGAGTCCTCATACTTCGTCTTTTCGAGAGCATGCGCTATCGTTCCCTGTCAGGAAGATCATTTAGGGTGTAACATAAGCTGTGATTGGTGGCAAAATAAATCCTGAGGAATCCTATTTGATTAGATATTTTCTCACCTGTGTGACTCCTAGTTTGCTCGACATGAGGGACGCCACCAAGTTGCCATCGGTGTAGTTGCCAATGATCAAGTCTGGTTTGCCCTCTAGAATGTCAAGAATTTTGGTAGAGGCATCCTGAAATTGCATCGCGTTGAAATTTTACTCAAGATTCCTTAACACAAGAGACAAGAGTGCTGATGATTAATAATTCGTAGGTGGCAAACCTGAGCATATCTCTCCAGGTAAGGGTAAATGTCGAACCGGGAAACCCACTGGCGCAAATCCTTCCCATCTTCAGTCTTGAACGGCACACGTAGTATGTGTGAATATTTTGTGTTTTCAACTGGTTCAAGCTCCACATTACACTTTGTGCCTTTGGAATCTGGTATCAGTCTTGTTAGCTTCAGCACAAGAGTAGACATTAGTTTATCAAGTTCTACAAATACAGAGATAGCAGGAACGGCTACGATCACAGTGTAAATAGATTTACCACAAGAATCTTTGGTGTTATATGCAAACCCTGCAGCTTGATTCTTTGCAGAAGCTCCTCTTCCATGGACCTGACTTGGTCCAGGATGTAGACAACCTGTTATGGAGAAACCATGCCTTCAGAGTATGATATAAGCTGATCAGAGTATTATTTCCTACGATTTGATGATATTGATACCTGACCGCCGGTGTCTGGCAAGCCTAGAACCTTCTCTTGGCCAAAGTAACCATGGATAGAGAAGACAACAATGTTAAATATGGATGGAACCCTGCTGAAGAACTTCTCCATGTTGATAGGATCCGGCGCCTGGAGAACTTCAGATAGGAAATTCAACGTCTCCTTGCACCTCTCGGCATTTTCACCCCACCCTTTCTCCAATCCCCACTCTTGAAATCTGCAGGACCATTGTAAATAAACCTTAGGCATTTTTGGCACCCTAGATTTTTATGCCGCTTAATTTGGCAGTACATTACCTTTGTTCAAATTTCAAATATGGTGTGAATTTTGGCAGCCCACTGACAAAAACTTCTGCGAGGAGCAGCGCTGTCTGAAGCTTGTTCACCGTGTCGATTGTGTCGTTAACCATCAGCTTCTGCATGTTTGCAAGGATACATAAGTCTGACCAGTCTGTTAATTTCGATAATCTGTGTGGTGTGAGTGGCTGATATCCTTACCTCTCCGCGGTAGTTCAGAGTGAGTAAATAGTCGAGCAACGGCTTCATGCTTTCAGGCTTGCCATTCAGCTTCGAAGACATGAACTTGGAGACGAACTGCATCCCGTTCCCTATGGACGAGGGAAGTGTCAGACGAGGTGTTGAGAGGTCAAGAGCGCCGAAATCAACCTCGAGCGAGTTGTCATCCTTGGCCCTGAAATTCACATGAACAAACAATTTTCTTTTTCAGTTTCACAGCTAGTACATAGATAGAATCAAATTGCATTTCTCATCCATCTGAAGCTTAGATCATATCAGGAAATGTACATACCATTTCTCATCGTATAACGTCTCCTTGAACTTGAGGTACTCGGACGGCGTGATTCCTTCGACCGACAGATCATCGGCGTGAACCTTGACGTACTCCCAGATGCCTGGGTTCATTCTGACGGCGAACGCGACGAACGGTGGTAGCACTACTGCTTCCTGCAAGCATAATAATGATAGAAAAAATTTAATAGGCTCTCCTGTCAACAGAAGTGAATTGGGCAATTTCAAAGCGAAATAACAACTAACCTGGGTGGAACAAATGATGTAGCCGAGGAAGCCTTCGACGAGCTTCTCCTTCTCGACCTTGTCGTCGAGCGACCTCTCGAGCTCCTCCATGAGCTGCTGGTTCTTGAGGAGCCTGCGGCCTTTGGACACGTAGCGCTGGAAGCACCTCTTCATCTGGTAGCGGCTCTGCCGCAGCGCGTCGGGCATGGTCTCGGCGACGCTGTCCATCCTCTTGAAGCTGAGCTTGGTGGAGGCCATGGCGAGGGACTCGAGCTCACCACCAGGCTCGCTGAAGTTGGCGGAGAAGGCCCAAGAACTATGCTGGGAAAGGGAAGGAAAGCTGTGTGGTTTGTCTGGGCGTGGGTGAGCAGCGATTTATAGAGGATGGCACGGAGCAAAACTTGGCTCCCTGGAGGAAGTTTTCTTTGGTGTGGACAACTGGACATGCAAGGTAGGCGAGGCTAGGCCGGGAGGAGAAAGCACATCGCCCGGGACAAGTTATTCCAAAGAAGCACACACGCGAGGGAGGGAAGAAACGCATAGCGGCATAGGATGTCTTGCACATTTCCCCATTTTTGTTAACCTCCCGCTTTTAGTTTAGGACAGAAAGCAAAGTTCCTTTCGTGTCTCGTCACGGCATGAAGATGCATGCAGAGCAGAAGCGGCAGGATGGCCAAGTATTGTACAGCCGTCACAGGATGCCAGCTTGCCAAGTCTGCAGGCGCCCTTCCAAATCTTGCTCCTACCAGACCAATGAAACACACTACTTTGAGCAAGAGAAAGCGCGTCAAACCTCAAAAAAAAAGGGAAACCGAAAAGTTTGCAAAAAACGTCTTATATTTTGGTACATAGGTAGTAGAAGAAATGGAGAAACAAGGTACACCAGAAATTGAGTATCAGCCTCACTGCAGTAAATTCTCAATATCAAATTTGTTCTGTCGTCCATGTGATGCTGCTCAATGAATATCATCTGAAATGGTTCAGGCCGGCGTAAGCCCGCCGTAGCTCCGTCAAAAAAATCTGGGAATACAAATGTTTAGCAGCACAACAACACGTGGTGGCAAAACAGATAAAGCATTGGGGCCGAATGGTTCAGTTTCTCAACTTTCTCTAAATTGTTGCTGGGCACAGGCAAACATTGGAGCTGAACGGGGCCAAATTCCCCCCAGTTTCTCAAAATTGTTGCTGGTTTCCCCTGGCTGCTGTACATTTTCCAATTGACATCCAGTTACACACTCGATGAAAAGAAAAACGATTCGTCATTCCTAGCGCACTTGCCAGCGGTTCCCGCGGGAATCTTGGCTTATCAGCGCGCCTCTTCTACCAATATAATTGCCCCAAATGGTATCATGTGGCAGCAGCATACTATTGCAGCAAGTCCATCTTAACGTCCGTGACATCGAGTTGCAGTATCTCGGCTCTGCAACGTAGCATGGAACCAATACTGCAATAGCAAGAGCGCAAGCATGCGCAAAGAAGCTCATCAGAAATTAATAAAATTGTACTCCAGGGATGTAAATTCATTTGTTGTTTATCTAAAGATGGTGAATGGGGCTTGAGAGGAGACGTTCACGGTTGAACATGCATTACATGTTTCTTTAAGGGCGCCAGAGATGCCTGATAAATGGCAAGGAACCTAAATATAGACAAGAAGGATGGTTACCTCGGATTTGTGCGTCCAAGATCACCGTGCACAAACTCCTTAATGTATGTTCCTGCCTGTAAACACATCACAGTCGATCAAACAGGAAATAGAAAACTATTCTACACTTCTAATGACGATATTTACACAAGCATCCAGCAAATGCTGCAATTTTCCAGCAGTTAGGACATACAAAATCAGAATGTCTATAGACAGATACTAACTTTGGAGACAAATAACCTACTAACTTTGGCAAGATGGTACCTGAGTGCAGAGATGCAACAAGTAATAGTTTGAGCTGCCTTCAACTTTCTCAATCTCCATCCTGATTGACAGATGAATGAAACACAAAGTGATTTTTGAAAGAAGAAAAATAGAACAATGAAACAGATTACATAAAGCTGGAATCAGTCTCAACTCTCACCAATGTATAATCCGTTTCCGCTCCAACGGGCTTCTTCGGTGAAGAACCCTTACGGGGGTATTTTGTACAATTTCCTAGAAGGCGGGAAAAAAAGAGATGCCATTATGTGTACTTCATAGGGAGTGTTGGCTTAGTGTACCCGAGTAGCAAGATATCAACAGAAAATAGGTGAATAAACTCCGGATAAAGTCCCAGTCAATTCATCACATATATACTCATGACAAACAAACTGCCTTACCAAAAGCACGGATACGCTAGCAAAGAATATCAATCCTGGCACAGAAAAAAAAACAAATATTGACAAAGTTCATCTCATATCTCAACAGGCTTATTCCCCGCCACCTGCCTCAGTAATAGTACTTGCTTAGGTAAAAATAACCCAAAGCTTCACTCCGACACATGGTCACATGCAAAACCCCAACTTATCCAATAAAACAACAAGAGAACAAAATCAAACTAGCTCGCTGGGTTTACTAGTAAGCAAATATACTGTACCATATCCTTAATAACAGAAATTTTCTGCAGGTCATCATCCGTCAGAGGACTAGAAGTCCATATGAGGGCAGCATACTGCTTCTGCACACATAAAGCAAGAGTAAACCTTGATGATCAGGTAAGGATTGTGTTGTTTTGCAAGACAAGGCAATGTGTAAGGTAATGTGATGTGATGCGACAAGAAAATGTAAATGATTAGAATAACTGACACTATCATTTCAGCTAAATGATACTGTCATCAATTGAATGGAGCACCTGCTTCTCTGCTTCCCCTTCACGCATCATGGCCCATATTTCATTGTCTACCAACTTGAGATTTCTAATTCTGACCTAGAAAATTCGAGTCATAAGTATATGACATGTAATCTGTGTGTAACTATGACCTGCAACGTCAATCCAGCATGAATTTGATTCCTTACATGTTTCTTTTCGGAGCTATTAATCTTGTCAGAAATTTGTTGAATTTCAATCGCAGATGGAATCGATCGCACATTCAGGACTTCAATTAGAAATGGACGACCAGATCCAAGCATCCGTACCTGTGTATGTGAGACATTCAGCATACCATATACCAACAGATACAGTTCCAAACTACAACATTACATCGATATCTTCTCTTCCAGCAGCATGGAACTTGTAGCCATCACCTCTGGAGATGGCACATACACTCTCTTTAATTATCTCCTACAAAAAAGGTGCAATGATGTTCAGTTTTGTTGGGTTGGGACTTGACTCTGATGCAGTGTGTTTTACCTCAACTGATGCTTCCCCCATTCTTTCATCATCAATTATCCAACATGACTGACTGACATTTCTTGAAAGCTGACAATGGCAATTAGTAACAAGAGGGATTCAGAATCTTTTTTGAACATCAACAAGTTTAACTGAAGAGCAAACACACAGGTAGTTTGTTTATGTATATTGAGCATAGGGAAACAAATACCAAGGCGCATGCAACTGATATTATGGCACAAAGGTACAGCGTAGCCTCTTTAAAAGAAAACTATTTGATTTTGACACAACATTTTGTATTATTCATAACAACTATTTGAATCTTTTCATCACCTTTAATGAGGTTGGAAAGTGAGTTTACAGAACTACATAGTTCTTGATGGAGTAACCTTCAAGAAAGCAGTGATTATCGATCAAGAAGGCATCTCATAAGTTTGCTACTAGGGAATTAGTCCTTACTGACAGCAAAAATTGGTGTTCTGCTATAATTGACATTTCTGGTAATGAACCACACTGGTTAAAACCAAGGATTACTTGAACATACCTTCAAGTATCTTCCGCCAATATATATGGGCGACCTTAGGAAGGTCATCACAAGATGGCAAGGTTTGGACACCTGAAGGGGGAATCAATTAAGTTGATCTAAAAAAATCAGTATAATATGGCCAATTTCTGGGGGTAAAGCAGTATTGCAATAGTACAATGGGCACCTTTTCAGGAGGCAACTCAAATAAACTACAGAATTCTTGATCTTGAATACCCTCGAGGGACTTGTGGATGAATGAATCTGTTTCACTTAATGTCTGTTTATCATCATATGTTGAGTTCCTTCTAGTATCATTTCCTTCTCTTGACTCTGTTACAACATCAGCCAAATCATTATATGAATGAAAAATCTGATAAATCCAGAAGGATGATCAAGTTACCTTGTTAGTAAATGAACACTTAAAGGACTTACCTGCTTTCCTTTTACGGTTACTGTCATTTGGCAATAAACGTTTGAGCTTCAGTGAAGCATCATCATGAATATATGTTAAGCGAATTCGAAATGAATTGTCACCGTGCTTAACACCCTGCACGTATTTATTTAGTCAAGCAATTGTTGGTTGCACAACGCTCCAAGACAAAAGACAATCACAGAAGATCCTACCAGTTGTTTCTCGAGCGATGGTACTATCAGCAGTCTCAGACCCTCCTTCACTGACATCGTTTGTTGAGAAAATATTTCGTCCTTGAACCAATTTTCACTGCCATATTTTTCTTTCATATATAACCTATTAAGAGGGAAAAGGAGAACACATTATGAGAACAACAGTTTAGAATCATCACATGTATTACAAGAACATTAAGATTAGAATGAAACACACACAAAAATACCCATGCACATTTGAGAGCGGATAAGACATGATCTTAATTGTAATTATCAGTATCCACCAAAACCAAATTTAGCTCACTGCCGTGAACAGAGTTGGAAGTTCTTTTAACATTGGTTGTGTCAAATATCTGCATATATTCAATTGAGAATACAACCTTCTAGATTATTGATATGGTTAGTATAGACTATATAATGCCATCTCCTGAATTACTACTGCCATATATTGAATTAAAGGTGCTGCAGAAAAAAACTGAAGCAGAGATTCTCAAGTAGGGATGGTTTACCTGATGGCACGTTCATTCGCTGCTACAACTGCAGGCAGTGAAATTTCTAAAGAAAACCCATCAATTTGATAACCCTCTCTTTGTATTGCTTGAGATACCATTGAAGTAATTATGTCGATACGAGAAATGTCATCAAACGGTACTACACCCTCATCCTTATGGCAGGTGGGTAGCAATATTCCAAAGCAAATAGAGCAGCATGCTTCATCCGTTGACAAACATGAGCAAGACCCGCCTTTTGCGGAATCATCATGCTCTTCAAGAAATGAATGGAAGAAAGAGACCGTAAGAGACGCACATAAGCAGGCATGGCTAAAGGCTCCAAACATGCGAAAGATGCATCGCACACAAACCTGCAACATGACAGTAACGTTGATGATTTTTCTCCAGTTCTGAATTATGTATTAACAGGCAGATCAGCAGAACAATGCAATGGAATGAGAGCCAACGGTCAGAAAAGGCTCCATACCCTGTCAACATCGCACACATGTTTACATACACGATAAAGAACAACTGTTTCTCTCTGGTTCACTTTACCTTAGACACAGTCAGAGTTCTCTATATTCCTCCTTACTTCTAGTTCGAATCAATCAATCAAGGGAGGTGACACAATTTTCGGAATCCCATCTATCTTAGCGAAACTGCTGAAATAATCAACCGTTTTCCTAGCAAATGCTCATCGGTTCTATAAAACTGTACATTGGTGCATTAATCTCACTTAACAGCTACACAAACAGATATTGGGGGAGATAAACGAAGTACCGCACATTGAATATGAGAGGAGTGAGGATTCAGCAGCAAAGTTTGTATAGAAGGCAGGTAGTGCATCTACCAACGAAAACCGCCGGGCCGTCAAAGACACTGAATTTGGGGCTTTGACGGCTGAATTTGGGGTTTCTTCTACTTTGCTTCAAGTAGCTAAGTTCATCGCAGAGGGGGAAAAAAGTGACTGAGCTGTTCTCCGAAGGGAAAACTCTAGTCCTGTTGCTACTTAGGAACAACATCAATCTATAAAGCTGTCGAGATTTCTACCTTCTACTAGTTCAGAAGGCTGCCGTAATTTTGAGGGGAAGATAGAAGATGGGCGAGGAGCCGAACCCCGACGGAGAGGAGGTGGTGGACGGCGTGGAGAGGCGGGAAGGATGCCGCCGCGGCCCGCTCGAGTATGCTCCTGGCCTCCGCGTCCGACGCCGCCGCCGTCGCCGCGTTTGTGGCCGTCATGGTGGTCGCTGCGGCTCGTTAAACCCTAGCTAATCCCCCTGGCGCAGGCCGCTGCAACTGACAAGGAGCCCGACTATGCTGAACCGAAAAGCATGTCAACATTTTTCTTTAAAGACTGCGGTAGGCGGGCGCCCCCTATATCTCGCGTTCAGCGAGAGGGAAGGAACACTCGGTGAACGGGAGGCCGAGATGGGCCGGCCCAGAAACGCGGGCGGCCACAGCCTCCTTTTTTCTGTTTTCTTTTACGTTTTCTGTTTTTCTATTTTGCTTTGTTTTTGTATTTTTTTATACTTTAAAGTATTCTATATATAAAAAGAGAATACTCTACAAAAAACATTTCAAAAATGTTGAACAAGTATTAAATTTATTTAATCAAGCATTTGGAAAATGTTGAACAAGTATTTGAAAAATATTGATCAAGCATTCGGAAAATGTTGAACAAGTATTTGAAAAATGATGAACAAGTATTGAAAAATGCTGAACAAGTATTGGAAAAATGTTAATCAAGAATTCGGAGAATGTTGAACAAATATTTGAAAAATGTTAATCAAGCATTTGGAAAATATTTAACGTCCATAGAAAAGTTGTTGAACATGTATTAAAAAATGGTGAATTTTTTTATCATCTGTAAAAAATGTTAATCAAGAATTTGAAAAATTTATTGAACAAGATTTTTTAATCAAGCATTCGGGAAATGTTAAATGTGTAAAGAAAAGGTGTTGAGCATGTATTAAAAAATGATGAATAAATTTGATCATGTTTATAAAAATATTAACAAGCATTTGAAAAATGTTGAATAGTTGTTTGAATATTGTTAATCAAGAATTGGGAAAATGATAAATGTGTATAGAAAAAATGTGGGCCATGTATTAAAAGAAATATTAAAAAAAATTAATCAAGCATTTGAATTTTTTTAAAGTGTGTATAGGAAAATGTTTACCAAGTATTCAAAAAATCTTAATCTTGTATTTGAAAAATGTTTAAAATGTGTATTATAAATAATGTTGACCATGCGTTAAGAAAATGTTAAATTTGTATTTGAAAAATATTAAATATGTATTAGAAAGATGTTGTTAAAATATACAAGAAATGTAGGATGAAAACCAAAAGAAACAAAGAAAAGCAAAAAAATGAAAACAAAAAAAGCAACAAAATAAACCAAATAGAAATAAAATGACAAATAACTAAAGAAACAAATGCAAAAAGAATAAAAAACAAAGAAATAAATAAATAAAAACCAAAGAAAGAAAAGCAAAAAAACAATGGAAACCGAGGAAAGAAACAAATAGAAAAAGGAAAAACAAGAAATCCAGTGAAAGCCGAAAAAGAAAGGGAGAAAACTGATGACAACCAAGAAAGAATAAATAAAAACCAATCAAAGCCAAGAAAAAAACAAATAAAAACAAAGAGTAAACAGGGATACCGGTGCGAACAGGGCAAGAAAGGAAGAAAACTCACAAAAAAGCAAAGGAAACAGAAAAAAAAGTGAACGGATGAAGAAAACAAAAAAAAAACAAAAAAACACGATGCGAGCAAACCAGCGAACTCACTCGATTGAACGTACGCAGTGAAGGAAAAAATAAGACAAAAAATAGTCGGCCTAGTCGCTACAGTGCTTGAGGAAAGCTTCAACGAGATGGAAGAATGCACTTAATGCGAGATATAGTCCTCGCAACGGTAGGCGGCGGTCGGCCGGATCACTCACCGTCATATTGTCCCGCGAGTGACCATTAGATCGAGTCAACGCATCCCCTTTCAACCTAATCTTCTTCCTCCCTTGCGCCCCCCTCTTTCATGTACAATCCATCGGTAAATTACTTGAAGCTATATTTTATTCATCACATGATATGAGTTTTGCTTGGAACGTCGTGTGCTATAGTGGTCTTTGCTTTGTTTGCTTTTTAGTTTGCCACAATCATCTTTTTCTGGACACACCTTTTAAGAGGTATACACATTTATTCGTGATTTGTTAGAATACTTTATGTGCTTCATTTATATGTTTTGAGCTCGACAGTTTTTTTAAATCGTTTTGAGCTAGACAGTTGATCTAGTGGTTTACTTATATCTATTAGAGCACAACGGTGGTTTTATTTAAAAAAATAGTTGCACTCTCATGCTTCACTTATATCTTATTGTGAGTTTAATAAATAGTAATAACAATATGCACGGGTTATGAAATTGGTCCTAATACGATAGGTATTCAAGAGGGATATAATAAAAACTTTCATGTAGATCACTGAATATGATAAGTTTGATTCATTGCAATAGTTTTGAGATATTGAGATGACGGGGGAGGTACCAGTGAATGATTGTGGTTTAGTAAGAATATTGGTGCTAAGGTTTGTGATTCCCGAAGCATGCAGGTATAGTCTCTAGTTATGCTAAGAAGTTGGCGCATAATTTATTTTTTATTGTCTTCCTTATAAGTGGCAGTCGGGGATGAGCGATGGTCTTTTCCTACCAATCTATCCTCTAGGGGCATGCGTAGTAGTACTTTGCTTCGATGGCTAATAAACTTTCACCATAAGTATGTGAGTTCTTTATGACTAATGTGAGTCCATGAATTATACACACTCTCACCTTTTTGCAAATTTCTAGCCTCTTCGGAACCGTGCATTGCCCTTTCTCACCTTCAGAGTCGGGGCAAACTTCGCCGGTGCATCCAAACCCCGTGATATGATACGCTCTATCACACATAAGTCTCCTTATATCTTCCTCAAAACATCCACCATACCTACCTATTATGATGTTTCCATAGCCATTCCGGGATATATTGCCATGCAACTTCCACTGTTCCGATTATATGACACATATCATCACTGTCATATTGTTGGGAAACGTTGCATGGAAAACAAAAAAATTTCTATGCACACGCAAGATGTATCAAGGAGATGTATATCAACGAGAGGGGAGAGTGTGTCTACGTACCCTCGTAGACCGTAAGCAGAAGCATTTAGTAACGCGGTTGATGTAGTGGAACATCTTCGTGCTCCAACCGAGCAAGTACCGAACCTACGGCACCTCCGTGTTCAACACACGTTCAGCTCGGTGGCGTCCTCCGCCTTCTTGATCTAGCGAGACGACGAGGTAGTGGATGAGTTTCGGCAGCACGACGGCGTAGTTATGGTGATGGTGAAGTTATCTCCGCAGGGCTTCGCCTAAGCACTACGAAAATATGACCGAGGCTGTAAACGGTGGAGGGGGGCACCGCACACGGCTAAGCAATTGTCGTGGTTATGCGCCCCCTTCCCACATATATATAGGCGGGGGAGGAGGGAGCACCCACGAGGCACCCCCAAGTAGGTTGAATCCTACTTGGGGTTCCTCCCAAGTGGCGCCCCCTTACCATATTTGTCGGAGGGGGGAAGGAAAGGGGGAAGAGGGAAGGAAGGGGGAGGTCGAATCCCCCCTTTCCTTTCCCCCACTTGGGAGGCTGCCATGGGGGATGCGCCAGCCCCTTGTGGGCTTGTGTGCTCCCCTCTAATGGCCCAATAGGCCCACTGTCCTCTCAGGGGTGTCCGGTACCCCCTCCGGTACTCCGATAACTACCCGGTACACTCCGAAACACTTCTGGTGTCCGAATAGCATCGTCCTATATATCAATCTTTACCTCTCGACCATTTCGAGACTCCTCATCATGTCCTGATCTCATCCGGGACTCTGAACAACATTCGGTCACCAAATCATATAACTCATATAACACTATATCATCAATGAATGTTAAGCGTGCGGACCCTACGGGTTCGAGAACTATGTAGACATGACCGAGACACCTCTTCGGTCAATAACCAATAGCGGAACCTGGATGCCCATATTGGTTCCTACATATTCCACGAAGATCTTTATCGGTCGAACCGTTATGACAACATACACAATTCCCTTTGTCCATCGCTATGTTACTTGCCGAGATTCGATCGTCGGTATCTTCATACCTTGTTCAATCTCATTACCTGCAAGTCTCTTTACTCATTCCGTAATACATCATCTTGTAACTAACTCCTTAGTCATTTGCTTGCAAGCTTATGATGTGTATTACCGAGAGGGCCCAGAGATACCTCTCCGATACTCGGGGTGACAAATCCTAATCTCGATCTATGCCAACTCAACAAACACCTTTGGAGATACCTGTAGAGCATCTTTATGATCACCCAATTACATTGTGACATTTGATAGCGCACAAGGTATTCCTCCGGTATCCGGGGGTTGCATAATCTCATAGTCAAAGGAATATGTATTTGACATGAAGAAAGCAATAGCAATAAACTAAACGATCAATATGCTAAGCTAACGGATGGATCTTGTCCATCACATCATTCTCCTAATGATGTGATCATGTTATCAAATGACAACACATGTCTATGGTTAGGAAACCTTAACCATCTTTGATCAACGAGCTAGTCTAGTAGAGGCTTACTAGGGACACAGTATTTGTTTATATATTCACACAATTATTTAAGTTCCCGATCAATACAATTCTAGCATGAATAATAAACCTTTATCATGAATAAGGAAATATAAAATAACAACATTATTATTGCCTCTAGAGCATATTTCCTTCAGACTCCCACTTGCACTAGAGTCAATAATCTAGATTACATTGTGATGAATCTAACACCCATGGAGTCTTTTTGTGCTGATCATGTTTTGCTCGCGGAAGAGGCTTAGTCAACTGTTCTGCTACATTTAGATCCATATGTATTTTGCAAATCTCTATGTCTCCATCCTTGACCTTTTCACGAATGGAGTTGAAGCGTCTCTTGATGTGTTTGGTTCTCTTCTGAAACCTGGATTCCTTCGTCAAGGCCATTGCTCCAGTGTTGTCACAAAATATTTTCATTGGACCCCATGCACTAGGTATTACACCTAGATCAGATATGAACTCCTTCATCCAAACTCCTTCATGTGCTGCCTTCGAAGCAACTTTGTACTCTGCTTCACACGTAGATCCCGCCAGATGCTTTGCTTTGAACTGCACCAACTGACAGCTCCACCATTCAATA